AATACACATTTCTTTGAAACAATATTCAAAATAAATACAAATTGTTTTTAAAAACTATATACTTATTATAGTTTATTACTAACTATTATAATTTATAAAAAATAAGTAATAATAGTTAATATTAGTACTTACATATTTTTTATTAATTATAATAAACTAATAAATATTTTTTTACAATCTTTTCTTTTTATGATAATAATCTATTAGGTATACAATTGTTTTAATCAAATTTAGTCAATAATATGAATGTTTTTATAATTATTATCAATAATACACTTATTAAACAATAATTAATAATTAGTATAGGTGTTAGGTACACATTTTTTTTTTAAACTATAGGCTATAAGTAATAAAATAATAGTCAGAACAATTTTTTTTTTAAATATCAATGAAATTAATTATAATAAGCGAAAATAAAAAAGATTTTTTTAAACATAATATCTTTCCTAATCTTTATTGTAATTAAATGACACTACTTGTACATATTCATAACGCGTTAATTTTTCGTTTTTATAATTCTCAATTGTTTTTAAAGTTTTTTTTAATCTGGTTTTAACTTGTACATTTTTTCKAGGGTTAGGTATATTTTTAGSACAACTGTTGATTTTAATATAAACATCTGTTTAAACTGTTTTAATTAAAATTTCTAAAAATGTAAAAATATTAGGATGCGATGTATAAAACTGTTCATTGAAGCGAGAGTGAAAAGATTCACAGTTATTGGTGGTTCTAGTTAAATCAGCTGCAAACGCAGCCCAAATGTTTGGAGGGTAATTGGCATTTTCTCCTATGTAGTTATCTACTAAATAATCTGCATATTCTCGATATTTTGAATCATCGGGAATTTCAGACATTTTTTATTTTGGCGCAAATGGGCTGTACCCAAAACGAATTATTTTTTTTTGGCGCAAATGGGTAACACTCAAAGGGTATAACAAATGTAGTCTTTACTACACCTTAATAATTGTATACGTTCATTCATCTCTAAATGGAACTATTGTTTTATACGAATTATAATACAGAACTTTAATATTTTTAAATTTAACCAAAATCCTAGCGTAATAATATTTGAACAAGAGTATTCGACTGTATACTGCGATGGTCCTATTTTAGTATAATATTACCTTATACATAAATAAGAATTATTGATGGTAGTACCACTTGTACGGGAAAACATGATGAACATAACCAATGATTTTATGAATTTATGTAAATCCAGACAAATAGATAGAACAGCCTTACATACAACTGCTCTTATTGCTGGTTCATAACCGAATTTATTATTACCAAAGCTACTGACGTTAATTCAATTTTGTATTTGTATTTGTATTACCAATGTTCCAAAATATTACTACCTAACGCCTAGCTGCTGTGATTACCCAGTACTGTTTGTCACTCGGTTGCTCAATCAGACAAATTCGTTATACAAATAACCGTTTTCACGAATAAAAAACTTGAAACCAACATTAATTTACTATGTGTATATAAAATAATAGTATCTATATATACTGTATGATGGTTTTCTTTTATAGGAATAATTTTGCTATAAAAAAGCAAACGATTTTGAGTATTAAATTCCAATTAAACTGAATATAATATATATTTTCAGTTTTCCTAAACTTAAAATTTGATCGATTTAATTTAATTTCATGGCTGTAATTATATCAAATTAAAATGCGCTTGTTTTCAAAATATTTCCTATTTAATTTTATTGCGACTGAGATAATAATGACCAGATTCGGTGGAATATTTATATATTATTTAGTAAATCTATAGCGATTAGTCTAAAATCTAAATTAATTTTTGAAACATTAATGTAGGTAAATTAGGAACATGCAACGAACCGGGAGTCTACAGCTGCATAATTTATAGATATACCGATTTCGTTGTGTAATTAATAGTTTAATATTGTGTTGACTGCGTGTGTTACTAATTCAAAAATATATAATAATTATCTCGATATAATATATTGAGTATATAACTAATAGTTATGCAGAAAATACCTACCTGCAGAACTCTAGATGCACATTTATTACATACACTACATGAATGTGAATATCGTCAAACACATCACTAAACGCTTTCACCCGTTTTATATAATAATATACAGGCACATAACTACCTAARTATAAATATAACAATAATATTGCAGTTGACGTTTAACACGTTCACTGTGGGCAGATTCGTTTCGTACACGTTGGATGGATGTCCAGATGGATACATGTCCATCAGAGAATCTCAATTGCCAGACACCGGTGGTCAGTGGTGTGGCAGTGCATGGGGCTTTACCGTTTATTACAGCGAAACTCGGTCAATAAACCTGACTCTCACACTATCCAAACTCTCCGAACAAGTAAGAACCTTTATAGATTATTTACTATAAATACRAAAATTGTGTGGAATCAAATTAAAACTTTTTTTATGAAAAACAGAAACATTATTTCGTGTTATATATAAAGTATTAATGGAAACTATATGAAATTATATCAGCGTATGTCCTGAATACACTCGAGCGAAGAKTTATTCGTTACGTTATTCAAAGTGAACGCCWCTATAGTATTAATTAGCCTGACAGAWATATAAATATTAAATCGTCCTAATATTATTATGTAAAATGTAAACATTAGTGTTTTACTATTAATTGCAGTTTAAAATACACTAATATCTCATTGAAATATTTTATTTTCACACAGGGCATTGGTTACAATTTCGATTTCAAATTATCATACAAATATTTGAAAAAGAGCGACGCACACCTCCGATACGGGAATAGTACCTTCCAAACGTGGCGAGGACAGATGATCACAGGAAGCTACTGCGACAGGATACTCGATCAGTGCGATCGTAAACTCTGCAGAGTTCAGTCACCCAATTTCCCGGGAGCTTACCCAAGAAACGTCACTTGCTATTATAGGATAGAACAGAGAACGGCCCCAAAATCTAAGCGGGCCCTGATTGTGGTCAGACAGCCAAATGCACACAAAATTCATATTAAAGACCAAGTCATAAACTACGACCGAAGTCAACGTACACTCAGGTATGTCCCGTGCAACAAAACGTAGGTACTTTACGAAATTTTCCATTAAAAACGGGTTCATTCTAGCGCTGTTACGACGTAAAAACAAAAAGAACTCGTAAAAAAATATTTAAAAATGATATACGGTTTTGCTTGAGCTTTTAAAACAAATAAAATATGATATTAAATATCCATAACACAAAAGAAAACTTCCATTCAATACATTTTCTGTTTAATGAAACATTTTTAAGAACCAAACACCTGTAAGTAACGAAAAATGTACTAAATTGTATTTAATTAATTTCTCAATAGTTTATTTTTTTTTACTGTCCGTCTTATTATATGTGAGTTTCACTTCACAGTGTACGTACGTATTATAAAACAAGCTGTATTACTATTATAAAGGTATAGTCTTACTTCAAGTTCACACAAAACAAAACCAACCAAATAACTAACATCAGCACTTTAAAATACACGTTTGAAAAAATATCTCACCCCGTTAATATTTTAATATGATTCTATAATGCGCACACAAATTTATTTATTGCCTAAGACGTCGTAGGAAACGCGTATTAACTCGATGTAATATAATACTATATTATACTATTTTAGTTCGCCAAAAAGTCAAACAATGAATAAGAGTCGAGTGAACTTAATAAATTAGGCTAATGTATTTTTAATGGAACGTTTCTCAATTGTTGTTTCTAAGAGCAAATTCCATTATTCCCGATCTCAATAATAATGTAAAAGTCACATTTAAATCTCGTATTGTTTCCCGAACAAATAACGTGGCATGACAATTGAACGGGAACTCAGAAAAATAAAAAAAATAATTTTTAGTTGTTCGTTCACCCTCTGATATATCGCATCGTTGTGTCTCGTGTTATTATTTTGTTTTTCACTTCCGTTTGATAGAAATAAATCCTTTGGAAGGCGTCGGAAAACGCCATTTCGTCACGTTGACGACGAACCTACGTAAATGATTCCGGCTGATATCCCACAAACAACAAATAAACATTTCGGTCGATTACGCTCCAAAAATGCGCGCTGACCAAGTCGAGAAAACCTGGGAAACGAAATGGCGCGTACAAATTAATAAAGACAAATGTACTTGTGTAACGTCCGAAAACGTTATAAAATACCAAAAGTGTGTTGGTAGAGTAACGCCGTATGATGGCAGTCCATTTCGGTCTGGTCTAGAAGCAAATGTTTGGTTTCCGGTCAGGCTGGAATATAATAATTTTTTTTTTGTTTTATTTATACTATTACAATATTGACAACATTTTGTTTCGTTACCTACTTTGTAATATTACTTAAATTAGTTTGCGGTCGTCGTGATTTATCAGAAGCCATGCACAAGGTCAAACACTGATGTTCAAGTCTAAAGTATCGTTTAAAAATAGTAYACATCAATAAGTACTTACCTACTTAAAACAATCTTTGAATTCTTATTTTGTCTGTAGTATGCTATAAAGAGCAAGTGATTGGATAGTAAGAAAAATTAAATTAAATTGTTCATACATTCAATTATTTGAACTATTATACGTCATCATCTACGATAAAAACCACTATGATGGCTATCGAAAGAACACAATATGATTATTCGTATAATATCAGTGTATTAATGTTTATAGGTAACCTAATGCGATCATCGAGAATATTGTAGAATATATCGTGAATACCAAAATCTTTAAACAGACGAAACTAATAGTTATAGTTGAACCTAAATGGTTTAATGGTGTTCTGACTGTTGTTAACTATCATTTTTAGATTCTGAACGAAGTGATGAATGTATTGATTTTACAATGATGTGTGTATTTTTTTTTGTGTGTCTGTGTACATCATAACTAGTCGAAATAATGCTTCGATTTCAAACTTHKGGGGTGGTTTCCGATGTAAAATTGAAGATCCTTGGTGCATTATAGAGGTCAAAAGTAAACATTTTTCAAAAAAATCGAGAAAAACAAAAAAAATGACAGAAAAACTGGAATTTTTACGCAAAACCAATTTTCGACCAAATTGATTTTTTTATATGGTTGTAATTCAAAAACTAATCACTGTAAATACTTGAAGTTTTCACCAAATGTTTATGTTAGTGTTRTATATATACAGTTTAATTTTCAAAAGTTTTGACTTTTTTGAGTTATTTATAGACCACTGAAATTTTCGATTTTTTTTGAGAATTTTTTTTTGAAGTGTCGGTAAAAAAATGTCGGACGACCAAAAAATCTTGAACATTTAATACAAGGTTCCTTATAAGTTGTTCTTATTGTAGCTAAAAAAAATTAAAAATTGTTAGTCACAATTTTTTTTTATAAGCTTTTATAGTTCATATTTTTACGAAAACGCGAATATTTGCAAGTAATTTTGAAGCTGAAAAATCATAAAAATGTTTGTGTTTATAACTAAGGATTAAGAATACAACACTAAGTTTTCCATAAGTTTTCCTTCAAGTAGCTATTGAGAAATCTCGACGCATCATTATAGGAAAAATTTGAGGTGCGTTTGAATTTTAAATTTTTACGAAATAGCGTTACGATAACGATTTATCCTGAAACGATTTTAAATATTTGTTATTATTCAAAAAGTATAAGTCGTAGATACGTGAAAATTTTATCAGTTATTTAAATTGGCATTTCCTTTACATGATTTAATTTTAAAAATATTTTGACTTTTTTTGAGGTATTTATAGATAACTGAAATTTTCAATTTTTCYGAAAAAATTTTTTTGAAGTGTTGATAAAATTTTTTTGGCCCTATMAAAATACTTGAAAATTTAATACAAAGTTCCTCATAAGTTATTCATACAGTGATTAAAAAATTACAAAAATACATAGGCACGATTTTTTTATTAGCATTTGAATTTCAAATTTTGACTAAATACATAAAAATTACGGCAATGTTCAAATTATCTTAGATCGAAATTCATAAAAGTTTTTCTTTTTAAATCAAAGATTTGAAAATTTTTAATTACCTATATTATATCCTAGACTGACAAATCATCTCCGTTAAGAATCGTTTTTCGTATACAATGATACCTATCATTGCATTCAAATCTAACCTACCCTAGTCAGAGGTCCACCCCACCACCTAATGTACAGCAGAGCGACATCCACTTTTGTTTTTTTAAACATAGATAATATAGACGTGGTAATCGTTGCTAGACGACGATGATTAACATCACACATTTGTTTTGGACTTTTGATCCGACAACTGCTTGTGGCAAACAAACGTAGTTCATATTATACCGAATCTGACCTAAAAAGGAACCACATAACATACAACGGTGATAATCATGAGCGTTTTGATGTTCTTGAACAACGGTGACAACACAAGTTGGCCGTCAGACGAGGCGATCGAGCGGTACAAAAATCATACAATTGGCGACAGACGTGCTGTTAAAGTGTTCGATTAYCGGACAGGCCCGAAATCGATTGTGGACGCGGTGGACCGGGAATTTCGGCTGTCGGAACACCACGGACAYGGAGTACGGTTAGTGTTGACCGGTTACCGGGACCCTTCGTTGGCCAGGAGGCTGTACCGGGAACGTGGGTTACCCGTGAACGTGGTGTTCTCGTCCGYGGAAATCGTGGACAGCARCGACTGGTCCGACTTGTTCTGGTTAGATGACGGCATCACCATGTCTGGATGGAACTGCTCAGCGGGTGTCGATGACGACGATGACCTAAACATAATCAGCCATATGCTGCTATTCTTCAACGACCTGTCCAACGATTACCTGTGGTACGCCCGTAGCCTGCGTGACATCCCCTCGGCGGGCACAACCAACGTGGGCTGCGTGCACGGGGTGTACACATCCGTCATGGACGCTTTTGGTGAAGGTGTCCAAGCAGTTGAACCCATTCTAGACGCCATTTTGGAACAGCTGTGCGGCGTGGTATATACAGACTCGGCGGCGACGGACGACGGCCGGTGGACGTTAGCGTCCGGTGTGGTCGAAAAAGGGGACAGGGCAGCTGAAGACGCATATCGCTTGTTAGTGTCCCACGTTGACTTTTCTACTGCGGCCATGGTCGATTACACACAACGGACGACTCGGGTGGCCAAGTCGTTCGCGTCTACGTGCTGGCACAAATATGCCAAAATCACACCAACACATACAGACCATACACTTATCGCGTGCTTGATCGAAAACCTTAGAGCTGTGGCAGACCCGGAACTCGCCGACCTGTCRGCAGAACAGTTTGCGATGTGCCTGAACGCCAAGTTCATCGCGACCAGACGTTGGGGACAAATAGACGGCGGCTCACCTGTACCCGAATCCACGGTGACCGCCAGCCAATCGTTATTTCGGCAGGAAATCCGCGAATGCTGCGAACGGTTTTTGGCCGTGAATCACTTACTGGACTTGATGTCTGCCGATCATGACATCAACGATAACGCTGTCACCATCGCTAGCCGAAGCTTGATCGTTTGGAGTCACGTGGAACATTTGGAACCGCACGTCTTGCCCCAAAGGCTTGTGGATTACGCGTCGACAAACTTCAGCTACGAAGTCCGATACTTCGCACTCACCGACACATTGGTGTTCAGATTCACGAATGGAAGACGTGGGTGTTTCAACGAGCAGAGATACGTGCATAAGTTTGTTGGACCCAAAAATTTCAAAGAATTCAACGAAGAGATGTTTCGGATGATTGACTTTAAGAGGTAAAAGATAAACTCTGAATTAGCATTACGTCCGTCAATATATTGACATTTTATCTCAGCTATATTCTATTTATGGTATAGCGGTGACTACGGTGCTGATCGTCCGTTAACAGTAACCGATCCAAACGTGTTCCGGTATCGGGCATTCGGTTACGTCGACGCGTTAGACTACGCAGTACACTACATGTCGGTTACTGGTGATACCAAAATTCGGGCTGAAGTGTACGAACTACGTGACGATGACAATGGAAATGCGGTAGCAGTGTGCGAGCAGCGGTTCCGAATGAAAGTAGAATGTGGCAAGTTTTGGATAACCGTTCACTGCGTGGTGACGGCGAGCAGTGATGAACGGCAAACCGAAATGACAGTGGGCCTGATCGATGGTACCGTGGTCGTTGTGACCCTGTTGCCCAGTGGCGATTTCGACGTGGCCTCGCGAACGCTTGACGGCCTCGCGGACGACCACGACCAACCATACGCTTGGCCAGATGGACGGCCGGTATTTGAATTTTTTGACAACGTGGTCACTGTGATGGCGGCTGACGGCTCGAGAACGTCCACAGACTTCGGGCGGGCYGATCACTTTATTTGCGCAACATACCTGTCAGACGGCGCCAAACTCCGGATGACGATGACTGAACCAGCTATACAGTTTTGCCACGATTCTGAATCCGCTAAATCAGTGACTGACGACAAGTACGTGGTATGCCGCAGGGACCTGTCTGGTTATGAGTTTGTCGACAACCACGAGCCGATGCGAATGGTTTGTCATGTGCGTGAGGGTTTCAACCATGAGACGCCATGGCCGATGACGGTGGTGAGAACGCTGTCCCAAAACCGATATAACAGCCGAATGGCCAGGCTRGTGGACAAGGCGTTGTCTGACCACCTGCTTACCATCAAAACGTTGGCCGTTCGGTTGAATGCCAACCTTCCGATCAACGATGACGACGGTGACGTTGAACTAGACGAATTCTATGAACTTGACGGAGAAACCACTATCGCCTCTCATTATTGACGTCGGCCGAACGCAAAGTTTATCGGTTCATAACATCGTTATTATCGTTATTGTTCATTATGCATTGAAACATTCAAAAATAATTTAAGTTTTGTCCGTATTCAATTTCCAATTTTTAAAGTGTTCCGATATGTTTTAATGAATACTTTCAAATAATACATTTCGTTCTAATATGATATCGTCGTTCTGTGATATCTTTACCTGCCACTGTTTACTCAAAGCTTAAAATACATTATTATTCCGAGCGTAATTAAAATATTTATAACAATGAAATATTACTGTGAAATTCAATTTAAAAGTATAATATTATTCATCAATAATAATTGCGTGAAGCTTGTTTACAATTCACCCTCATTATTTACATTAGAAATGTTTTTAAAATTAAAATATCGATTTGATAATAATTAAAAAAAAAAAATACTTCATGGTACGCATTGCATGCATTTATCCTCATATATTGCATTTTTAGTAATTTTTTTCGAATTGGCTTTACGCTGTTTATCATTAATAAAAATAATAATATACCTATTGTCAAACATTATTGACGTCGGCCGAACGCAAAGTTTATTGGTTCATAACATCGTTATTATCGTTATTGTTCATTTTTTGTAAACACTTAATTAGCATAAACGAAGTACTTAACAAGAAAGGTAAACAACTCGACCGGTATTATTTATGAACACTGCACTGAACGTTATTGTTAACCGACGAGGCCCCTTAATGACTGCCAAGGGAACGAGCGAAAACAAAGATTCTCGCATTAAAACGAATAAGGCGATTATATCATAAATCACGTCGATGGCCAAAGATTTCTCTCAAGTATAATTTTTCTTTTTCTCTAGACTGAGAAAACTTTGCAAATGTGTTTCAATAAAAATGTGCCCAAATATGACTTTTGCCACTTTCTAATACATTTTTCCCTAACATAACTAAACCGTTCGAATAATCATAAATCTGACGCCTAGGACGTTTAAATCACTTTAAATGTAGAAATAAGAATCATTAAATATAAAATGTATTTTGTATTTCTAAARTGTTTTCATTGTGCATACTTATTCGTTTAGATTTTTTCCATAAGAAATCTTAYAACATTTTTTGTAAAATCTTTTGATATATATTTAAAAATTTCTCTAGAATAAGTAACCTATAATAACAGATATTCATAGTAAAATATACAATTTTTCATTTAATTTAATTTTGTTTGAGTAAAAATAACAATCACGAATAAAATGTCAAACAACAATAAAACCTGTCAATTGTTTTTTTGATCAATGTTTTTCTATCACTTGTATCTTAATATCTTTATATTTTATTAGACGCAAAAGAAAGAAAAACATAAGATATCGAAAACAAAGTTTTCAGTCTGTTAACTTATTGCTTTATTTAGCTGTATTTWAAAAACGATTTATAATGCCCATATTTTATGTGCAACTTGTTATAGTACCTCCCAGGGACAATAAGTTACGTACATAAGTCATAAATTCAACATTTTTAGAAAATATATAATTTTTGTGACACCGATATATGCAGGGTATAAACTTATAATTTTATTAATATATATAAATATAATATACTGTATTTAACTTGATACAAATATATTTAATGTAACAGAGTTTTAAAATTTAAAAAAAGTTATTACAAGACGATGTTATCAAAATGTTTGCGTGACAAGATAAAAGTTTAATACTTGTTTTAAGATTGAGTATATAGATACAATGGCTATTATTACGATTTATATTCGTGGAGTTTTTTATTTTTCATTATACGTTATAGGTAGGTACAGGTGAATCTCATAATAATATACAAYCTAGTGCGTTATTTGTATTTTTTTTACTGCGAATAACGACGAACAAAAGTATTTTTCTGAGCACTATTGTCACAATTATTAGTATATTTAGTAATAATAACTCTTAAGACGGTAGCCTTCACTTTTTTCTGAACTGAACCGTTAGTTTACGTTCCTTTTAAATTATATTAAGTCCCACGCAGTTTTGATTAAATGACGATCATGAAAAAATAAAACGTTCACTTAAAAGTTTAGAATTATTTAGTAAATTATGATGTAATATTAAAATATCGATATTATTGGCACATTATGACGAACATATTAATAAAGTTTCGAAATTTGAAGTTTTATAATAATAATAATAATAACGATGGGTATACAACGAAAATAATATTAATAATAACAGCCTCATGTACGTCGACACGTACTCTACTCTCATAGCACTTATATCGATTAGAATGGAAAAACAAATTAGATAACAACTAAAATCGGCCATTAGCGTATTATTATTATATGTTTTCCATCACAAACTATTATTATTATTATTATTATTATTTTTTGTGGTGTGTCCCGTGTGGATGGTGACAATGGTGTAATAAATTAATGTTGTCATTTCACGTTACTCAACGCGTTTTCACAGGACGTTGGGCGGTGTTGCTGCAGGGTGACTGCATTATTAGAACAATAACAATAATAATAATATATTCATCAATATACGAGTATTTATGCGTTCGCACGTGTGTGTGTGTATAAATTGCATAGTTTACTATATAGTGAGATTTTTAAATATGATCTCCCTTTTTTATTCTTAAATTATGCGTATATTAGAATTTTGATTTTTAGAATTTTTAAATAACTTTGAGTCCCATATTTCTGAATACTTGCGATTTATTGTGACGCTTAAGATTGATTATGTGACAATACGAATATCTATTATTCAAATATGGATCTCACTTTTTCACTTTTATCAAATTATTTAGTTTTATGTTTTTAAATCTATTTTAATGTATATAAATCAAATTCTAGTAGTTTTTGAGTTATATAATATTATATACAAACTATAATAATTAATATACCTATGACAAAGGTCTAAATATGTAATATGGAAGCTTTGATAACTTTGAAATTTTAGTAATTAATATTGATATATATATGTATATCAATATATATATTTATATAAATATAAATAATTTATAAGAATTATCGGGGTATAATTAATACTATACATATTCAGCATTCTCTAATATCACAAAAATTTTATATTTTTGTAAGACCATTTTTAARATTTTCTATCCTTAGTATATATATATTTCAACAATTCAAAAACAAATCATTAAAATTTTGATTTAGATACATCGACATTTTGAAGAAAAGTATTGTTCTCATTTTAAGTAGTACAAAAAATATCAGAAATTTATAAATATGGTATTTAAGTAAACTTAAAAATTCTTAAAATCAAAATTTGAATAAATTTACTATTRAAAGAAAAAAACTGGTGTGAGTAGGCTTAAAACACTATGTGCATGTACATGATATAACATTATTATACTGATGTAACACGACCAAACTTTATGAATTTAATGTATTTCACGATATCTTCTGTTGTAGGGTTTGGGACCAGTGCAATGTAATTCAAGACTATTTGACTGTGTACGACGGATCGTTGGCTACTGACCCCGTACTGGTGAGGCTGTGTGGTGGTGACGCGGTACCGGATATCGTAAGTTCCGGGCCCAATATGCTGTTGGAATTCCACACTTCCGCATTCGATAACCCATTCCATCCGGTACCACTCAGCTACTTGCCAGGATTTGAGTTAGACGTGGAGGTAACTATAGTTGCACATATTATAATGTAATGTGTATCATTTATTATATTACTATATYGCTTATCATAATAAATTATTGTGGTTACGACGACGCACRACTCGCGTAACCTAACCAAACTGTATTTTCCCCATTTTTATATCATGCACATCCTATTAATAACTAATTGAGATTTTTAAAATCTTCAGTCTTTTCATAATTCTCATAATGGATTGCGATGAAAATGTGGTGTTAATAAATGAAAAAATATTAAAATCGGATTAGAAAAATGTTTCCTCGTGTGTTTACTATTACACTGTCATMAGTTTTTATTGTTATGTGATTTTAACTCTAAAAGCTTTAGTATTTATATTTAGTATTTAGTATTAAATTAACGATTAAAAAACTACACTTTTCTATTCACATRCATATGTTATGATATAAATACTTATATAATAATATATTTCTTTGTTAAAAACAAAAACTACTAACAAATTTAACTAATGTAATTTACTATAATACCTATTGGTTATCTAATTATTTTTAATTAATATACTGCGACCTGATCAACCAATTAAAGATTCGTTCGAAAAATGAATACCTACTATACTATTACATTGATRCGTACTTCTTAACTTTTTCCTTGCATTAAACTTTTCTAATTTGACACATCTTTTTTGCATAAAATTCCGTTCACTTAATATACCTAATACTTAAGTTTATACACTTGACACGATACCCGTTGTTTCAACCTTTAGATACTGTTCGTCGACAACAAATCCCCCAGCTACGCCAAGAACACCAGTCAGTGTGAGTTCTTCATCAAACCATTCAACAACACCAACTGGGGGCTGTTGGATAGCCCCAGGCACTCGTTGCCACCAAACACGTCTTGCAAATATCACTTTCAAGGTTCTAGTCACCAAACAGTCTGGCTGTCTTTCATCAAGTACCATGCGGCCAGTACTGATCCAAATGCTTATCACCTGAGCAACGAATGCAACGCCAGACTCCGAATTTGGGACAAAGTCAGATCGTCAAAAACCAAAAAGGTCAGACTAACGCAATGATGTATAACAGTAAATAATTAATTGACGATTCAAGTCTATAGATGTTAAGGGGCATTTAATTTTTAATAACTAAAATTTATAATTACATGGTGAAACGAAATTAATTGTATTCCTCAAAAATACTAGTTCAGATATCGTTCTATGTTATATCTATATAATATGTAAAAATTTTGTGAAAAATGTATATAGTATTAGTCAATGGATAACGGATGGGCAGATTGGGCTCAAATTTTCGTTTAAATTGTTCATAATAATATTGCCAGAAGATGGTTTTTATGGAAGAAAATGTTTTAATAATAATAATTTATATAAATTAGCGATTTATTATTACTAATAATTTATTAGGTACCAATTAAAAAAATTGTTTCAACTTTACAAAACTAAAAATGCGAGAAAATATTATAATTGAATATAACTTTAGTCCTGTATTTATATGACTGTGTTAAAAATCTTTAATGGAAGTTAAGATAGGGAAAATCCATGAGAAGTTTCGAATATGACTAGCTACACCGGGTTTTAAACAACAAATTAAACACAAATTTTGAATCATATAGAGTTGGTATCATTAACGGGCAACAAAGTTCACGGAGATCAGCTAATATTATATAAAAAATAATAAGTTTTATTTGTTGATCATATACCTACGTTTCGTTCGGTAAAGTAAGGTACATTACTTCATTACAGCTATTTACTCTCAAATTACACTCAAACCACATCCAGTGGGTACTTGTTTCATAGATTCTTACTTTAATTTGGTTTTGTGATGTACAGTCAAATATTATTTTCATTGAAAAACACATAAATGYCCAGTACTACATTAAATCCTAAATAATGTTATAGTATTAATATACGGTTCTATTTTATAGAACTCGGTTGAAATGGGTAAAAAGAACGTTTATGACATTTTTTATGGTACATCATGCACAAAAGAAAACCTGTTTTTTAATAATGGTACTTTAACGCTTAACAACATAAGTTTCTTTTTAGATTTGCCTGTATTAGTATCCCCGTGGCATTCAGCATGAATTTATACTATTATACTCAAAAAAATGTCGAATATACTCATTTAGTATTCGTTCTTGGACGTAGGGTCTGGTACTACATAATATTTTATTCAGTTACCTCAAACAATGGTTGATATTTAAAATATTTTATACCGTGTATTATAAGGCGTGTAGGTGCACCTAATTTCGCTTTCAATACATCATATTTACATAAAATAATTATTTCACCACGTTACGTATCGCCGTCTCATAACTGGTAGGTTTTTTTGATACAAGAATTATGAAAATATGTTAAACATTTGCGTAGGTACCTTGATTTTACAATCAGGCATATAACATATTATATATTATCGCTTAACTGGAAATAAATGTAATCAATAATATATAGGCATAATGTGGTGTGTCGTATTTGACTATTGGTAACTTTGACTGGTATCTCTTRTCGTCCTGACATTTTATTATCATTCCTTGTATTAGTTATATTAAATTATGTGTAACGAACGACAATTATTAATTTATTAATATGTTTGAACTTGTTGATTGATCTTAAATATAAAATATTACTATGATTAACTATATTATTAATAATTATGACAAGAATGAAGAGGCCTTCCTACAAATAAATAAGTCCATAATGTTATATAAACCTGCCTACATAGTATGGTATGTGGAGTGTGGAGAAAACTATCGGGTATGCAGGCAGTTTTTAATGCTTCCAAGTAGCTATAAATATTCAACTCTTTTATGAAATTCGCACGTCTTATAAGCATATATTAGTATCATGCTAATTTTCTACAGAACAAATATAGATGAACTGCGATACTAATTACAATATAATTAACACCAGATACCAATATTGTCATTTCATTAGAATTTAATAATATAGTAATTTAATTAAAACTTTACTAYAATGATTTCTATAATACAAAGAATATTTGTAGCTGAAAAACTGTAAATATGATATGATTATATTACAAGTGTATTAACATATTGTATGCACATTTAATTGAAAACATAATTCTTAATCATTCTTACTTTTTTTACTTTACCACCTACTTAGAATATGAGATTTTAGACCATAATTTTACAACTAATAGTAATTACCTAATATGATATTTTCATTTAAATATTTTAATTAAAAATAATTTATAATTTAAATACTCGCCTTTTACTTTTCCTACTCCCTCCCACCAGAGTTGAGCTTAGGAAATAATATGCTCGATACAACAAACGAAAAACATATGCAATGGACCATTGATAAATACTTACTAGTCACTRCTGATTTAAATACACCTATAATGGACACATGGAATAATAGTAATAGATAATTTAATTTATTTAATGGYATTAAAACAATACATTGAAGCCAATTGTACCTCTTTGAGATTATACAATTATTTTTTTATAAAATGAACAATGGCATCGGTAACCTTGTCACGTTTAGGMATATAAAATATAGTCTATTTATTCCCATATACATAATATATAGAAACCTAAAATGGTTGAACAATAAAGATAGGTATACTAATAACAATAATAAAATCGATTGGCCAAGGAAGAAACTCMTTGATTTGATGCTTGCGGTTTAAGACTGTCCGTGAAACACATTTTAACGAAATGTTTCAAGTACGAACAAGACAGACAAAGGATCGGAATCGACGCGACACTCGGCRCCGCACTGGGACCAGAATCCGARGACAATATCAAGATGATTAACTTCCTAAAATCAACTAACTTATATAACTCAATTTAAATATTATGTTCATTTTTCCTTAGTTTTTAGTTATTAGAATACGATAGCATAATGAACCTCTATTGTAATTAACTTTTGTGCCACCATATCTGTAACTAATGGCCATAGATRCCGGGTTGTATTTAAGATCAATAAAAAATAAATAMAATTTAAAAAATTTAAAAAAATAAAATCGATTTTACGCTGTGAAATATTTCAAAAATAAATATTAACATTTCAAAAGCCCATAAACTAAAATTTAATGACAAAATCGATTTTCAACTAAACAAATAAAAAAAAAATCTATTCATAGTACAACAAACAAAAATCCCATTATTTTTATTAACAATGTAGGTACAACATATTTTTATAAAATTTAGTTTTAAATATAAAGATAATCATCAACGTTATTTAATAGATAGATAGAAAACTCAGATATCATACTAAACCATTATTTTACATGATATGCAACATTATAATTGTTATATAAATTACAGTCTATTCGTTTCATACAGAATCGCCTTAAGTAGTCAAGTCAATAAAATTGTGTGTAGGTACACCATGTTAATATTTCAGTTAGCCGGCGCGTTGTATATGCAATTTCGATACATCTGCGTGTAGGTGACCGTCGTGCGTAGGATTAAATCCAAAAATGTTGTATCAGTAAAAAAAAAGCATAATAATATTATTATGTTGCGATAAAAATATAACGAATATTAATATAATAATAAATTAATAGCAATATAACAATACAACTAGGAAGAGGTGTAGACATATAAATAACTTTTGTTTAGAACCAAACGAGAGCTGGAATTTATAGACCTTAATATAATTTGACGCAGACCACATAAGAGGCTTTTTTATTTACGCCACACTCAGCCACAGTCAATGCTGAATCACGATGAACGAATTTTCATAAATAAAATTTTGATTATCATATACTTAGAAAAAATATTAATTAAATTCTTACCTCCTCCTTATGTGTATCGTGTATTCCTTTAGCAAAAAATCTATGCAATTCGATCAAAATATGATTATTTTTTTATTACTCTAGATTATTATTTTWAAAAAAACAATTGTACACTTTTAATATCGTGTGGCTTAATAATATAATATAATAATACTAAGTTTTAATTTTTTTCTTCCACAGTCCGAGTCGGTACTAATGGGTGAGTTCTGTAAGGAGCAAGACCTACCGCGGCTTTGCGACCATGCGTTATTGGGCAATGACACCAGACACGTGCGGCCGTGCGCRGCTAAGGAATCATACACATCATCTGCGGACGAATTGACGGTGGAGATCTACCTGAAACAGGGCTCRGTACTGTTTCCTCTCCAGTTCCTGCTGAGGTACGAGTTCGTGGATCAGTCGGCGGATCGGCGACAGGGGCCCGGGGATGCGGGTCCAGCGGCGTGCAGCCGGATGTTCGCCACCGGTTCCGGGTATTTCGGGTCACCGAAGAACGTATTCTTCTACGGACGAGGTGGCCGCCGGAACTTAACGTGTGTGTTCCGGTTTGTTCCCGGATCACCCGAAGAACGGGTCCGGGTGAAAGTGTCCCAGATTCACTCGGTCAGCACGGCGTGTACAACCGAGACGGATGCCAGGACGGACCGATTTCGGTGCGTGTACGGCAGCGGAAGCGGTGCGGACGCGAGCGTGGATGGCGTAGGCGGATCCAGGGACGACGTGACTCAGGCCCGGGTGACGATCACTCACTACCCGTGGCCGGACATCGAACTTCCGGTGGGCTGCGCGTGCTCGGAACTACGTAAGCCGTTTACGTTCGAATCGTATCCCGGCGCTGCGGTTCGCGTTGAGTTCGCCATACGCGACATGAACGTGACGCAGGACCACCGGGACTTTGGATTCTCGGCTGAGTACGCGTTCGTCAAAGCATCGYTGGTGGACAGAAATGCATGCCAAGACGCYCGCCAGCACCGGCACCTCCGCGGTCCGGGTGGCATCATCGACCTGATCGGCATGTCATCCACCGGTGGCCGCCGGCCAGTACCGAGCGCGTGCGCCGATTTCCCGTGGCTCATAGGCCCGGCCACGGCTGACAGCAGCATGTTGCGCACCGGTGGCTTCGTGTACATGAAGTTACGTGGCTACGAAATCCAACGGTGGCGCACCAATTCGTTCATGTGTCCGACCAGGAATCGGGTAGTGGTGTACACCGGGGCGGGTGACGGGCCTAAAACCGCTAGAGTCATATGCCCGTACGACACGGGGGCCACCTACAACGCGCTCCGCGGCTCGTACGAAGTATTTTCGCCCGGTTGGGCAGAACCGCTGACCGGCGCCGAACAGCTGCAGCCCAATTCAAAAACGGTGGCCATCGAGTTCTTGAACCGCGAGTACGGTGCATACGCCGTCACCTGGATGGAGGTGTCCAAGATGCCACTTATCATGCCGTCCACCAACGTATACGCCATGTCGTCAAACGTTCACCCGGAATGCGCTTACAGGTCAGTTGCGTTTTACGGTTTTTTTTTTTTATCGCTATAAGAACTATAACGAATACAAATTTCTTCACGAGACCGACGACATAAAATAAGTAGTTGGTGTCACATCGAAAATAATTCTTTGATCAGATGTGAATAGATTACCGTATAAAATAATAAGATAACTCTATATGAGCTTATAGATTACGTTTTAATGTTCTATTTTTATTATTATTATATTRTGTATATATACAACTTATCTTGTACAGTACACAAAGTTATRCAATACGCCTCATTTGTGTATAGTAATTAACGCGGAATAGTATTGGTTAATTCATGTTTATATATTATTATGATCTTACATACAGCTGCCTTTTCTGTACAGGAACTTACATGTTATACATGCACTTAAGACTTAACCACGTTTACCGAACATTTCAATTRATTACATTTATATACAATATTATTAAAATATTAAGATCAGTAACAATGGCCGTCAATTTCACTTATATTTGTACTCATGGTAATCGATTAAAAAATATTAATAGAGAGTAATAAACTCATTGTATGTACACAACATAATAAAATACATATAAATACATACATAGTACACGCGCATTGTGTTAGTTTTAAAATTAATTACTATTCCCCACTACACCACCCATTCAGAGATTAGATGTGAATTTATTGCATAATAATAATGTTATTATGCAAATGAAACGCCATAATAGAATTTTTTTTGTACAATATTATTACTATACATTAAAGTATTTCAAGTATACCTATTTTATAAAATAAAAAATTTTAAAAAGAGCTGTGACCTTTATATTGTAAGTTTATATTATTCAAAGCAATTTCATGTTCAACAAAATATAATCATCTCGTTGAAAAAATAAAGTATAAGAGGTTAACTTGTGACTTTTATCTAACTTATTTATAATAATTATGTCTGTAAGTACTCACAATTCCAAGTCATTAAAATTAAATTTTCCACTATCCTCATTTCATTTTAAGTTACTTTTACCCTTTGAATTATATATTTGTTTATTAACTTTATAGTAGTTGATACACTCTCATTAGACTTTATCTCCTTCCAAAATATAATCATGTAAACTTTTATACTACACATAGGTATATTAATTTGTTTACCTACTGAAGATGAAACGTTTTCACCCAGTTTTTTTCATCGAAAAAAGTTGTGCACATGTTTTTTTAGAGATAGCAGTACCAATTTTCTGAGAATAATAGATATAGTCACACATTTATCTTCCCAAAAGTCGACTTATAATTTTATAAAAAAAATAAAAACGAAAACCTCTTTTCAAAAATAATTTAACACATTTTTAAAACAAACATGATATTCTGTAACGATAAAACGACAACAATGAAATAAAACATTGTTCATGAATATAAATAGTGTACCAGTTCGTTATCTTGATTATTCATTCATAAATCTACCTCGAGCATTGTTCAAATATACAATATTTGCATCAAAATATTTTTAGAGTTGATATATATTGATCATACATATTATTACCTACCTAATTTTACTGTTCAATATAAAAACATTGTCACGATCGATTTGTTTCCATTAAAAATAACTGTATAAGCAATGTATACAACTTCTATAATAATGCATACGTTTTTTGACTTGTAATTCTGTCACACTAGTTATTCAGCATTTCACTAAAACAATCGTAAATACTTGTGAACAAATCATACCTATTGACTTCACTTAAAATAAAATATCTCATTAAATAAATAGTTTTATATAATATTGCCAACTATAAGTGTTTGAATCGATACAGTATGGTAGTGGTCAAGTAGACGATCATCTACCAAAATTCGTTAATCATGTTTATATTTTTTGAAACCGTATTCCYACACTACAATGCAGCCTGCGCTATGTCTTTGAAATTGTGAATTAACATTATATTTTATTTACATACTCATTTAGATAAACATAAAAAAAAAACAATTAAATAGGAAAAGTTAAGATTTACTCACCACCTACCTATAATTGCTATTTTAATTATTATTTTACTGATTATATTTTTCTAATTATGTATAACTTTAATTAAAAAGTACGTGTTTAAATTATGCACGTTCTATATCCAATTTAGTATATAATGACTCTCTGCGACCAACACAATACCCACAGCTCGTACATATATTATAATGATTAATTTTGAACTTAACTAAAATAATCACAACGCAGACAAAAACTTTTGTTTTTAGTTTCCTATTCATAAATTAAGTATGGATAAATTACGAATATACGAATAAATATATATAATATATATGTAACGATATTTATATTATTTTCATTATTTATTGAATATCTAAATCTAATAATATATGTTTTAATAGTGGCTATCATTGGTTTGCTACAACTGTGAATTATGAATAGTTTCAAAACTTCTCATTATTGGTTGCAACATGTTTTTCAAAAGAACGTTGTTCAGAAGATTTAATATTTCAATTCAGAAAGTTTCATTTAATACGTCTTATCTAACACTTACAGACCAGTATGATAATCAAAAATATTAAAGGTCCTATTTTATAACTCTTGACATCACAATATGGCTCAGGAACAATTAATAGTTACTGCAGTTTTTCCTATATTTATTGTATAAAAAATATTTGATTTGATTTTTTATCTACAAATTTTAGATTTTTGAGATTCAAAAAATTCTAACTTCTTTGAATATGAATCAATTTATTTATTTTTAAACTGAAAACGCTTGTTTTTATATTCTAACTATATTATAGAGTCAAATTGCAATAACTCGAAGTTGAAGGAGGATGAAAATTTGTTTCTAGATGTGCGTTATTCAAGGTACCTAACTCGAATTTATCGATATTAAGTGCTAAAGTAATGCAAATAAATTTGAGTTGTCAAGTTTTATGAATTACTCAGGTTTGAGTTAAAATGATTCGACTATAATATAAAAATATAATTGTACTTAATTAGTAAATACCAATCGTAAACGTTTCATTGGAAATCTATTAGGATTGTTTAAATACATCTCAAATACAGTCATTCAGTAAGGATTATTTTTTTTTTTAATTTTGATAAGCTATTAAAAGAATATCATTTTAGTGRATGTTATATAAAAAAATAATTTAAGTATCTACCAGATGAAAACTGATACTTATTCAAAATTATTATGAATGTATACATTTATGAATATTTTTTATTATAAGTAACCAAAGTATCACCAGAAAAATTTGAATAAAAGAAAGTAATGAAGTTATATGAACTCGAAATCAAATAAAAAATCAACTGATACAGTTTTTAATTTTTCTTTAGTAAAAAAAATTAAAATATGCAAGAAAAAAATGATGAATAATGCTAAATGATAAAAGTTATCAAAAATTCTACTTTATGTAAATAATTATTGGTGACCATAATAATTTAATTTAAGCTGTAATCATAATTTGGAACAAAGCTACAAAAAAAGTTTACTGCATAAAGTATAACAAAATGTACTTAATGATTTATTAAAAAGAAAGTTTAAAAAAAAATCGAAGAAAGAATAATGGACTGGAGCAATGAATAAAAAATTTTCTTAAATTATTTATTCAGAAATAAAGTTCTCAATGGTAAATTACCAATCAATGTATTATTTATTCAGAAATAAATTAATTTGCACTTTTTTATATCATTTGTATAATTATTATCATTATAATTTTGGAGTACCAAGATTATAGTTATAATATTTAAGTAGAAATAATATAAAATGCATTCAATTCAAATTGAAGTATTCAAGTTTAGTAGCGTATAAAATGTTTGCGAATTAACTACTTATTTCGAATTCCACCGTAAAGGGATTATAATTATTATAGAATTTTAGCTAAACCTAAAAATACAAAAAAAAATATGATTTTAATTAAATTCAAACGCTAGGGTATTTTTATCTTGATAAAAAACAACCATAAATATTATTATGTCTAGTTTTAAAGAATTAACTTTTTTTAAACATTATAAATTATTGAATATAGCTCCGTATCGTTATTTAAATAAAATTAAAATATTGATATAATTTAACAAACTTGATAACATATAGTTAGCACTGACTTATAGTAACGAGTATGTTTTTATTCTTGACATCGGATAACCCGTTTTAATGATCTTTGGTTGACGTCAGATATAAATACATTTTTTCTTTCCGTTTCCTCATTAAACTTTAATAATTGAACAGTAAATCTTCATCGTAGTTATGTAACAATACCTATAAATATTATTTTTATGTCAGTAAAATGTATTCACTGCACATTCTAATTTTTATTTTCTGAGCTATAATATAGCTATAGCCAATGCATATTTTATAACAATTCGGATAATCCAGTGAAGAAAGAACTAAATATATTTGTACAGATCTCAAACGAATATAACATAATTTTTGCGTAGAGCGAATGCGAAAAATTCCAAGAATATATATTCTTTTCCATCAAGTTGACAAAAATTTTGAAATTCTTCGGTGTCAAAAAAAAAATGAAAAAAAAACCAAAAACACCTTCAAGCGTTTATTTTTATCGTATGTATATTTATATATTATAAAATTAATTTATACCAGGTATTCTATATTAGATGTGTCTACCTACGTCATACTATATCTTTATTGACACTGTTATAATTATAAATCTTATAATATCTAAACAAGTTTTCATAGCGTGAATGATTAAGGCGTACTTWTACAAAAAATTAACAGAAATTATAAAGTTTTATATTGATTATATTTATTTAAGATAATCACTTATTATACAGTTGAATTTGATTTAAAATAAAATAAAATACACGCTTTCTAATTTTTATACTACATAATAATTAAWTAAAWTATTTGTTTCTGTTTTATATTTTTATTTGGTGTTCGTTAGAGAGCAGTAAAATCTTTATATTTCAACGCTATGTCCAATCATGAGTCAGAGTTAAATTTTTCAATAGGTGATGATCGTGTTTTTATATATAATGATTTATTCAATTTATGTAGGTTTTCTTAAATATCTTATATATTATTAAGTTTGGCCAATCATTAATTTTWAAAAAAACCTATGATACAGCGAATAAGACTTAACCTATGGAATATTAACAGTTGGACGACGCGTGGTTATGTTCACAGGTGTCCGGAACTAAACGCGTGCATCAGCTCGCAGTTTTGGTGCGACGGCGAGACGCACTGTCCGATGGGCTTCGACGAGGACCCGGCCAATTGCGCGAGCCGGAGCGGTGTGAACCTAATGTACGTGGGCGTGCTGGGTGGCACGGCGGTGGTGCTGTTCACGGTCACCGTCGTCACGGCTGTAGTGTGCCTACGGTGCAAGGCCAACAGGTCGCGGCGAGCCGAGGACGACCGACGGCGGGCGTCACAGAAGGGCTCGGGCTCCGTCGACCCGATGATGTGCGCGGTCGACCGGGCGCACTACGACAAGCGGTTTCTGGAACAAAACGGCGGAGGTGGCGTCATCGGAAACTCGCTGGGCAAGCGGTATCCATCGTCTTCAGACGACCTGTATCTGGAGTGTAAACAGGACAGCATATGTTGACGAAACGACGGCGACGATGAACGCCTTCGAGTCGAGACGACCGTCTGACCACCCAAACCCAGCCAAACAACCCAACAGCGGTCGCGTTTGGTATGAACCGCGATCGTTGAGTAAAYATATTTTACGTCTACCTGAACAGCGGCCTATACTGAACGAGACGGACATAGGCATTATGGTGCACTAMGTTCCACTTTGTTTTTGACAGTCATATTTGTATATAATATACCTAAAATAGGAAAATCGTTCATAAGAACAACTCTGCAGGTCAGCGAACGCGTTCGGATTGAATAATATTGATCATCGTATGTCGGTACAATATTGCAATTATTATTATACTCGCAGCACACTTGCCCGAACGCGCTTATCCGATCGTGTGATGTCGACCGTGCAAGTTTATCGTTAACGCCCTTCTCCTTCTCCTCCTCCCCCCTCCTTCTCCACCATCCCCACCTGAACTTTGTCATGTTAACTATTTCTACTGCATTCGATGATACCGTGATGACCGTCTGTTTCCCAAACACCGCTTATAGCGATATAATAATATTATAATACCTCTGCAGACACACTCGTTACCGACCACCTTTCACTGTAACGATATATTATAATTATCATCATCATCATTGTACAGGTATTTACAGACATTTACCATGGTATACGCGTGTACCAGTTCGGAATACCGTTTTAAATAAACCACCTTCGTGGTATGCGCTGCATACCGTCAAACCACAGGAATCCGACTTGTGCATATCCACCCTCACCACTCTCGCCGAATTGCTATATCGTTTATATTTTTCCCTTTTGTAATAATTTACCTTTACTTACACCACTCGCAGACGCACGCACGTGCGTATATACAAGTCGTTTCATAAAAGAGAGTAGCCACGAAAAAACTATTTCATACAATATTATATATAATATTTCAATATAATAATCTGCAAACGCTCGGTGACGTACAAAATACTATAGATTAGCCACCCACCTATACGAATATTTAAAAAGGTCTATTGTCCTGTAAGAGGCGATTATCGGGGTTGTGTAATTATTATTGGCATGGGTGGGAGTGTTTGGACAATAATGCTCGTCTCTGTCAACTCTTGCATTTTTCACGTTACTGTAGTACCACACTGTCGTTGGTCGCGTTTATTTATTCTGACAAAATTGACAAAATTATTAACTATACCATAAATATCTCCTTACCACCGTACAGAAATCGTCACGATAAAATAATAATGCCGCCTAAGATAAATCGCATCGATTTAGTCTTCATTTCGTTCGAACAGGGTTGTCGTTAAAACTATCATATAAGTTCATAGGAATGTGAAAAAATGCGAGTGCTTGATAAATGAATAATTTAAAAAAGTGCGTGAACCKAGTGGAAAATACACAATTGCATAATTTATACAGTGTTATCAGTCAAAATAATTATACTCATACTATTTCAAAAAACTCAGATTAGGAGCTGCTTGCCAGTTTCGAACATGAAAATATAAGTAATCAAAGTATAATTGGTCTGTATTTATAGCCATTAACATATATTACCACTATTTCAAAAATAATGTATTACAATACCGTATAAGTCATTTGATTTCTAATACTATAAATATAGTTTTATTATGGCAATAAAAATGAATTTATGATAAATACAGTCTATAGGCTGATCTGAAACGTCTTATCGTTAAACGTAACGGTGAAATGTAAAAACCTAAGTTATTACTATTATTATCCTTTTCAAAAACAAAATCTAATTAAACTTTTATGACGTTTATAAAAATTGGCAAATCTTCTTTAAGACCTTGCGGTGTGATAATTTTKWATTTTAATGTTAAGTTTGGTTTAATATAATTTTATATTTTTAATTCTCGTGTTATTAAGTGCATAGTAAAGTATGACGTAAACGATATTATGGTATTCCTTGCACGAGAAGCGGTGAAAAAATTCTGCCTTTCGTAATAGATTAATTATGCTGTAGGTACAACGTGTATTCGGATAATATTTAGTTCTTACCATTTATTTAGTAGAAAATATTTTTCCATTCTTTGGGGGATAAATCCGTTTGAATATTGATAGACATGCCAAAATTTATTATATTACCTAACCTCTAGCAATAACGCAAACTTGCCAAGAATGTAAAATATTGTAAAGTCCCGTCGTATATTTAAATAATAAAATATATTTTGATACAAAATATTCTATATAGCATGTCTGTTTTGTAAATGATTGTTGTTCAAAAACCATCTATAAAACGTTTAGTGACTTTAAAAATCAAAAATAATTTTTATGTTTTAAATAAATACTCTTGAAAAAGAAACAATACAATATTATTTACTGATAGCATAAAATAACGACGAACGTCATTGTTACATCGATCCTATATTTAATTAAATTTTCTCAATAAGTTATTTTAATTTAATTTTTGGTTAGCTCCGATATAACATTTAAAATAAACCCCATAAACTTTAAATGGGTAATTACAAAACTGTATAATTGCGTTATCTCGTGTACTCTTATAACTTAAAAGTCAAGAGACTCAAAATGACTGAATAATTCATTCATACGTTTATTAATCTATTGTATACTATGAATTTGTTGTTAATAATTGTTACCTATGTTTAAATATTATATTTATTATTTCAAGTCATTGCGGAAAAAAATATACATAAAATCCCTGAACAAAAAGGTTGTGTTAGTTGATTGCAAAAATTGGATATTTACTAAAACGTAGAAAAATGGTTTTATTGTTGTCTGAAAATATATTAGTATATTGTAACAAATTATAAATAAAAAAATTATAATACTGGTTTTTTTTAAACTCAATAAGTATACTTGCCTGAGTTTTAATAACCAAATACATTTTCTGACTAGCATTTTAAAATATATATATACCTATTATAAATACTACATTATACTCTTTTAATAATTAGTATTATAAGTGACGTGGTAAACGGTAATTTCAGAGGCAATTGTCTATGAGATTTTTCTTGAATAAAAAATAGAAGGGTGGGGGTAGCTATTGGGTCTCCTAGTAAATGTAATATACTAATATGAAATACTCAATAAGTAGTCAATAATGATCTGAAATATAATTAGTTATATTATATTAATATATTACTATGCATCAATACTTGGGATATTTGTAACTTGCCTCTGGAAAATGTTCAGTTCACCACGCCACTTCAGTAATACTATATTATATACTCGTATATAATTATGAAATATGTACCGATAATATATTTTCGATTTCCTGGTRTATTATCGAACTTTTATAACTGTATCAAATAAATCTAAAATAATTTTAAAACGTCTATGGATTTTGTAAAAAAAAATATTAAATGCTTATGATAAGATTACATAATTATCGATAAAATTCAACGTGTATTCGCTTCCGCTCCTTATGTTTGCAATAATATAATAAGATTATTACAATTTGTTTATAAATATTAAAATATTATAATAATTATAATTACTGCTATCTTCCTAAATTATAATTTTCGTCAGACTTTCTAAACCAAAACCTTTTTTAACTGTATAAAGCCATATTTGTATAATCTTTTGTGCCACTTTGAATACTTTGATGTTACCATATTATATTATTATAATAGTTATTAAAGAAAACAATACTACAATACTTTTGTTTTTTAAGCTATATACTCACTATTATTATTCTCGACCTTTGTAAATACGGACTTGTGCTCATTATAAATAAATGGTAAAATTGAAATGAACTTGTATTATTTCACAAAGCTATCAGTTAACTGTAATGAAAATAGTACAATAGTATTTTATATAGTTTATTAATTATTATTCTAAAATACTATAATATATATAAATCTATACCTAAGACATAAACAAGGTTATAAAAACATATTCCTATTTGAATTTTGCACAGTAATTGGATGAAAAAAAGTAGCATTAAAACAACAAAATAATATATTATATTATTTGTTTTACAACAATTGCATTGAAAACGATATTCTCATATTTCGAGAAAATCACTGACCCGAGGAGTAAGTTTAATATTTCATGATTTAATATCCATTATATACTATCTTACCGGAATAAATATGTATTATTCACAAGGCCCCAGCAAAGAGGTTTCCTCTGCAAGACATATTATTGAAATCTATGGTTTTAAGAAAAAAAATCATTAATGTGATAGAAATAAATTATAGAATTCCATTTCATTAATTGCGTAAACAAAATTAAATTCAATAAAAATATCACGTTACTTAAATTATTATGTTTTAAATCGCTTAGATAAATATATTTGTATATTTTACGTCGAAAAATATGTTTTATAATATAAAATATAATCAGTATTATACCTATTATGAAAATCATTTACTACTAACCAATAAATACCGTCAAATCTATGGCTATAAATCTATGATGACATTATAAAAAATTCGGTCATTTAAAACAAACACATTCATCGGATCAAGAAAACTCCATATTGTAAACAAACGCAATAATAAGAGGTAAGAATTTATATTAACATTATTTGTGATTTATTTCATTATTTGATACCTCTCGAGTGTTTTCAGAAAACGTAATACAGGAATGTGTTGTCTTCGTCTTACAAACGAGCACAACATAGTAAATTTACATCCAATAAAAGTGTAAATCATTAATGTTTATTTTAATATTACGAAGGTAAAACATAAATTGACTAAGAAGAGGACATGATACGATTACATGACGTGTTGTTCCCATCTCATAAACGTGTCCAAAAATGCGAATTTGCATTCAGCAGAATCTATTTTGTGTTGATATTAATATTACAGTAAATTATTATCAATATCAATAATTAATAAATATTAGCTACGAGTTCCTCCGTAGGTTTTTTATATTTTAATTTGCAAGTGAATAGAGTAATATAGGTAGGATTATATAATACAAAATAAATTTGAAAATGCTCATAACTGGCTTTAGAATAACGAATAAAAACATCTAGGGAACAAGGTAATAATTGCCTTACTTTTAAATTTGATAATTAATAAATTTACTGTAATATTAAAACAAACAACACAAAATAGTCTGTTGATTAAAAATGTGTCATAAGTTATATTCAAAGTTTGTAAAAATGAGACAATACATACGAGCGTCACGTCTTCTTCATAATTTGAAAAAATACTACCGAAATATTAAAATAAATTCATACCTATTTATGATTTACATGTTTTTAAACTGTTGTATATATAACAAAATTATAAATATTAAAATAACATACGAAGCAGAAGTCTGCAATCAAGCCGAGTCATCAAAATTGCTACCACTACATAAGGCGACGTGGGAACGAGGCTTTTTGTTTTGTTTCGCTTATTGTCGTAGTTAACGAGCAGTATTTTTAAGTTTCGTTTGATTTTTTTTTTTTGATATATTTTATTATATTTAATTCCTTTTTTTTWAAAAATCAAGTGTCACTKTTTTTCTTTACTCCTTTTTTAGAATATTTCATCTTACGAGTGGACACGAAGACGTTGTGGTAATAACACTTTTAAAAACCGGTAGTAAGACATTGTAGTGCTTATTTTCTCGTCCAGCACTTGTTATCGTGGTCAGTCGAGAAAGAGTAAAACTTTGTCTAGGTTTAAGATATCTCACCCTCGAACATCCAGTACTCGTTACCGTGGTCAGTTGTTCGGGAGTAAAGTAACCTTAGAGTTGTATAGTGTAAATCCTGTTGCACTTCTATTTAATTATCTTTTGCGCAGCACTCGTTATCGTGGTCACCAAAAGAACTTAAATAAAACTCATACAGCAGGTGTCGATAATTTACTTGTTCGAAGGTTAGAGAATTGGAAACCGAAAATATATCTGTTATATACGTCGAGCCTTTGCGTGGCGTATACGACAAAACATATATACGCTGTTTCTTTCAATAAATTATGAAAATTATTTGAATATTCATATTTGCGTAAAATGTCCTTAGATTTTATAAATTTGATATTTTAATTCATTTGTAGACTTGAAAAATAATTTAAAGATTTTTTCATACGAATCACAAACGATTTCCAACTATTTTAATGCAAATATTTGATATTGCGTACTTATCTACTAAATGACGCAAAATACTATTGCAGCTTATTTAAGATGCCAGTGGTATTGATTTTGGAGTTGAGTGCTTAAGTACTGCTTTGGGTATTGACACCCAGCCTACAATTCGTGGCTAATACAGTGGTCAACTGTTAATTTGTACTCTCGTCTGCATAATATGTTAAAATATGTGAACTCCAACCACAGAGAATAAACCACAAAAACTCACGCATCACAACATTAATGCAAATCACTAACGACATTGTTTTTGATGCAAAAATTCGGACGTTAAGACGACGAATACTACGCTCGTTCAATAGGTAGACGTTTTATTATTATTATTACAAACATTTTACATTAGGTACTTTATTTGCACAATAATAAAGTGCGTGACTATAATATCGTAATAATATACAAATGGAAAGCGTTCGTGTTGGGAACCTTCGTCGTCATCGTTGTCGTTCCAGTCGAATACACGTAGTATAATATTCGGCGGCGGTTAGTTTCGATGTGTTTTACGGGCCGGTGAACATTGCGTCTCTTGTCACCTCCTAGCCCACCCCCCACCACAAATACCGACGGAACCACGTGATAATTATAAGTTTTCTGCYGCCGCGCCGATGCCACCATCAGCCCGTTTCGTCCGTCGCCTTTTGTCCTTGCTCAACATACTAATTGCTAAACCGAGTATACACACTGCAGTTAGGTATAATATACGTAGACATGTTGGCAAGCAAGAAGACAGGTAGATAGGTTAGGCGTGTATAATGCTCGTGTACGTACTCCTCGTGTCGCTGTGGATTCCCGCGAGAGAGGCTAACGACGAAGAATAGTAGGTACATATAATTATATATATATATATATATATTATTATTATTATATTTTGCTCGTGCGATTATCATAAATTMATCCCTACCTGCAGCGTTGGGTACATGATGCTGCAGTAGCAAAGGGTCCGGTAAGAGTGGAGAGGGAGTGGATGTACTCGTGTATGCGATGGAGGAGTAGAATAGTAGTATAGTGGCTAAACAATCGTCGACGTTGTCATAGTGGTAGTAGTAGAAGTATAGTAGTCTCCCGCGGGGCTGTCGGATGCCAAATATTCTCTTCCACACACCCACCAACTCCAACGCCGTCGTTATAGGCCAGCTGCTTCTACTGCTACTACTGCTTCAGAATATGTCTTACTTTTTTTCTTTGATTTAGCTTTTATTATCTATATAATATATATATATATGTGTGTTACCGTATATCGTTTCGTCACATGACGATAATCCCCGCTCAGTTTTCTGTTTCCTAGTGGTCGGGGGCCTTGCGCGACATATAATCTCAAAACCAGGTAAACTTACTATAATAATATACTCATACTCCATACAACTAGAGTCGTTAAAATAACAACAAAATTACTACATCTTTGTTTGCATTTTATTTTCACAGTAACATTATGTATTGTGTTCCTTATAAAATCGTTCGGCTTTTATTTACACATCAATTATATGAAACTTTTTTAAGAAACATCTATACATATAAAATAAAATCAGTTAAGCAGCCGCCAAAATCTACTTAAAGTACTCGAAGCTTAAAGTGACTGCTGCTGTCGTTTTGGGCTTACAAGCTTTTTTGCATATATACTTGCAGCATGTGTGTTACTCTTAAAGTAGAGTTACCGTGTACAAAGTTCAATTTTCTTACGGTCAAAGTAAACAATTTAATGACACGCTATCTGGAATCAAGTAACATACAGCAACTAATTGCGATATATTGGAAAATGTGTAATTGAACAAAAAAATAATGTCAATTTATTATTTGTTACGATTTCATATAATATTTACATTGGTTATACAGGTATATAGGTTATAAAGAATTATATGAACAGTGATCGTACCACGGCAACGGTAATTTTTCTGATAAAATGATATGAACTTAGTATAATTTCTACATAATATAAATAAATTTAGTTACTTTTATCGTACATACGTATTGTTTAAAATGTTTAGTAAACGGGAAATTATTAGTTATTACTAATCAAAGTTATTTTAAAAAATCAATTTACACACATGTATGTATAAAAATAAAAATAAAATTCTGTATTTTAGATTTATATCACAAAATTATATGGTACCCATAGTTTGAAAATAGGTTGCATATAATTTTATGTTTAAAAATTCAACTTTTAAGAATCAAACTAAAATTGTTATACCTATTTGAACATACATATAATTACAAAGTGTCTCATGAGGAATAAGGATTTACTAATTTAAAATGGTGATGGAGTAATGGAGTTTACATTACTCAGTACTCTTACCACTTTTAAATAATATATCATCATGGGACACCCAGTATAC